GACGATAGTTTGGGTTTGTTGGTGATGAGAGGAGGTGGCAGCATCTCGTCGTGCTGGAACAGTTGGCCGTGGTGTGCCAAATCAAGCAGGTTTCCAGGCGGGGGCTGTGGGCTTGTCTGTTGCTGTTGTAGGAGGGTTAGTGCCATGTGGAGAGAAAAAAAAAAAGTCTTCCTATATAAAGACAGAGACTGGGAAAAAACAAAATTATTTGGCTTTTTTTTCTGTTTCATTCCAGATTGGTGTAATATGCAGTCAAAGTCAAGTGTCAGTCCTGTCCTCTTTTCTGATCTCCTGTCTGCACTCGCATGCATTGGGGGGGAGAGGCTGTGTGAGTGCCTCCTCGCTGGGCACGATGCAAAAACCTGTTCCCTTTCACAAGCACGGCACCAGCATGCTCCAGAAAAGTGGACAGGTGGGGTCCTGGAGTAACTGCTGTAGAGGTGCTCCAAACAGCAAGAAAACCTCTCAAACTGTTTGCTCACTGGCATGGTTTTGCGTGATTCAGGCTTAAACACAGATCCCTTTAATAAATTAAGACCTGCCGCCAGTGGGCAGTTGCACGTTCCCACACCTCTCCTTGCACGTGCCCAGCACTGCTCTTGCAACTGGTGCTCGTTGGAACGCAGGGTACCCAGCTCAGAAAGCAAAAGCTAAAGCATCCAGACCTGAGCATGCCAAAAAAAAGCGAAGACTTGCCTGCCAGTTTGGCTGGCCAGACCTGCTCGCACAGGCTCAGCGGTGTGGGTGGAAGGAAGGGCAGGAGCGTGCAGGCAGGGAAAGGGATCAGAACGGGACTCCTGCTCTGGCAGCACAGCTGTGCAGCTGAAAAGTCACGCTGCATCCTGAGAATAAAGTTCATTGTACTTATGCTTTCAAATAGAAATTTGTATCCTTCCATTTTATTTAGAGCAAGTGTTTTTAAAAAATGGAAATAAAATCTGACACTCTTCTTTAGTTGAAGTTTGTGGTCATCTTGCTGTAAGGCTGACCGGCCTCTTTCATATACAGCTTCTCAGTGGCTTCAGTTGCTGCCTCTCCCTTCTCATTTGGAAAGTACTTCTTCTTTTGAGGAAAACATATCAGAGAGAATGCCTAAATCTCAGCACAGATGTCTTTTCATAATTGCAAGCATTTCTGTTAACATTGATGTCCATTCTGATAGGGGTTTAATACACGTTGTAGCATCTGGTTTCTAAGTACCTGATGAGTCTGGGTTTGCTCTCCAGTCTGCAAACAGGATAGTGCTCAGATGGGGGAACGCGGTTTTGCAGGTCTTAAGCCCAAGTGGATGAAGGAGAGGAGGTGTCAGCCAAGCTGATGTAGCTCCTGGGGCTCCGGGGAGAAGGGAGCAGTGGAGCACAGAATGGCACCGCAGCGGAGAAAAAGGAGCAGCAGCGTGGAGAGCGAGGTGTGCTGGGGGTGCCCGGGACAGGCAGGCTGCGGCACAGCCGTCGTTTTGAGTGCTGTTTTCAGGGGGACTGGACTGAATCATCTTCAGCAGAGAATGGACCTGTGTCACATGGTACAGCCATAGGATGGCACAGGTCATGTACTTGTGTATTGTTTCTCATAAACATCTGGTAGTAACCTATCACCTATAGCCCATGGGGAAACAGCTGTCTTGGCATGGAAATTTTGCTGGCAGACTCTAATCTAAGGTAGAATATAAAGCTTTGGAGGAAATGATTTTTTTTTTTTCATCTGTTTAATTATGAAATCAGTTCATGAGAAGGGAGGTGGCATGTTTGGGTTGCTCTGCTATTTCTGTTGTGCAGGCGGCTCCCAAAAGATCTGTTAAAAAATTGTCATCCTCTTGTATGACAACTAGCTCACAGGCTAGTATTTGGGGGTGCTGCTCCATACTGGATTTCTGAAGGCTCCCCAAGTTCCATTTTCTATTCAGGACAAGCTAACTTCTCTCCAACAAGCATCTGAGCAGCTATTCTAACATCAGGAAGAACTAAGCAATTGCTATCAACTTGTGTTTATTCGTACATCTATTTTAAAAGTTGGTCTGTAAACCTGGAAGATCCTTTTGTAGTGACTGTGTGACTATAGGAATGGGGAAGCAGGTTCTAACCAGTCAGTGAGGCTGGCTGGGAAGGTGCATCTCATCATTGCATGGCGAGGCCGAGTACACAGGCTGTGAAGCCAAGCTAGGATCAAAAGCTAGCAATGGGTCTTCTGCACAAATGGTTCATCTATACTACTTGTCTTGCCAGAAAAAATAGCGTAAAGGTCCTCTCAATAGCCCCCAAAAGTCTTCAAGAAGATTGTTTCTGCTTTTGCCGAAGGAATCTTAGGTAAGAAACTGAATTTGGCAGCTTTTAAATGCATGCCTTAAAGCACCATGCAAGTTGCCAGAACTGATCATTACTTTAGCTCCTCCATTAGGGCAGGATTTGTAAGGATCTGTTGCACGTTTATAACAGGTCCTGCCCAAGGTGGGTATGTTAGTATAACCATTAATGCTACTCATGATTATTGCTCTTCTTTTACATCTCTGTGACTTTCATTCCCAGAGCTTTAGAGCTCTCTGGGGTCCCTGAAGGAGAGCTCTGTGGGGTGCTTCATCTATATTCTGCCATTACTACCAAACGAGTTTTCACTTGTCCTTCAGGCTGCATATGCCCTAAAAGCAAAGCAGTCTTGCACGTCGGTGCTGATTGCAGCCCTACGGAGAGCAGTTATTTCCTTTTGAGCAATTATTCCTTATTTCCTTTTTATTTCCTTCTCTCATATTGATCACTATCATTGCAATACAGGTTGTTCTGCGAATTTCCTTTCATTAGACTGAAAATCCTAGGCATTCGTTATCCCTTTATGATTCCAATTTCCAGTAGGATTGAGAGGAGGCAGCATAGATCTCCCTGAAATATAGTGGTATCAGTAGGACCCTTTTGGTAGTTATTTTAGCAATAAAATCATCGCAGTAAATCTAATGGCAAATAATTATAAACATGCAGGCCAGGAACGTTTTAGCGCTTCACGTGTTGTCTCCTAACACAGCAGTGGCATTGTGACATGGAACTGTGCAAAGGTATGGTAAAAGGGCTGAAGATTTGCATTAGCAAAGAAAATTCCCCCGGCCCCTGTGTCCTTGACCTGTGGAAGAGGCCATCTCCAAGTGTGAGAATACCATTGTATTTTCAGTCATAGTCATTGAAAATGTCACCACTAGCTGCAAAATATTCTTCAGCCTGTTCTTATTTGCATCACTGTTCACAGCTTCGTTTGCTCTAAAAATAGAGCTGCACTTTTAACATGTTGGGAGCTGGGGAACCTTCAGCTCTTGCACAGTTGCTCTCCTGTCTGAGCTCAGGAAAGCTGTGCACAGGCTCAAGTTGACTAGTTTAAACCAAGGTCTGGAATGAGCACAGCTATAGTTTCTCCACAGCTGAGCTGGTTGAGAGAGTCTACTGCATTTTTCTAAGTGAAAATCACTTTGTTTTTACAAAGACTTTTAGTATTAGACTGGTCATCCTCCTGGCTCTTTTCTACAGATTTTTTTCTTTCCTATTTTGCTCTGTGAGTACAATGCTTGTGTTTTATCAGTCTCCTGTCTTGGTATTCAGTGAATGCTGTGTTATGATAAAGATTGTGATAAATCATGGCATTGAGTGTAGTAATAAACGTAGGCATAGTGTATATAGGCTATTGTGGAAGAAATTAGTTTCTGTTCTGCAGCGTGGGAAAAAAAAAAGGAGTCGTGCATCTGTTTTATGTAGAAATACCCTTATCATCCTGTGGTATCACTTTATTCTCAGATGAAAAAGCCAGAGTTTCGTGCAGAAAAGCCTTTGTTATGGATGGCATTGTCCAAATGACTCAAGTGATAATGGAAATAATTTAAAGTTTAGAAGTAGAATAATAAAATCATGGAAGTTCTGTAAGTTTTTGATGAGTTTCTTCAGTCTGTTGCACTGATGACTTAAAACTGAGAAGTCAGAGCAAAGGAAGCAGTGAATTTGGATAGGTGAAGTGATATGTGAAGTGTCTTGGAATCCTAATCTTTGAGTGCATGTGTAAAGAAAATAGTTTTAAGAAGCAGGTCTGTTCCCCTAGCCTAGCATGCTACATTTTAAGGTGCTTTAAAAACATTTCTCTCTACTGAGCAGGCTTGATTTTAAGGTAGTATTAAAACATTTCTTTCAAAGTAGTTTGCACCTTTTGGTTGGCGTCTGTTGTAACCTGTGCTGGAGTGCACGCGGACACACAAAAAGTGTGGTGTGGGAATCCTCTCCTCTTCAACAGACCCAGTAATTTCTCGTATTTGCAGAGTTTAGAGCCTGCTGACATGTGCTCATGCTAAACATGTTTATGTTTTTGAGGCATCTGGTGAGTGTTCTGTGATTCTGTGAAGTTATATGCTGTTCCTGCTCCTGTGGGAATGCTACAGTATTGGCCATAGGGCTTTATGAATTGTCACAAAATGAGCAGTTAATTCTTGACATCTGCTATGCTGAAGTGACTGCCAAGTTGCGTGGGTAGTTGGCAAGGAAATAAATATTGATAGGCCCTAGCAACAGGTACTCCTGAGAACTCTTGTTCTGGGAACGCTTAGGCTGTGTCCAGTGTTATTAATGTTGTGATAGCATTTTAAGTTTATTTATAGGATTTGTTTGTGTCTTATCACCATGTCTCAGAACTGGAATGCATGAATGGGCTTTGCTGTGCGAGGGCATAGACATGTGTATTGTACACCCTTCTCTGGTGACTCATTTCGACGTATAACAGATGCTGCACTGTCCAGATCTCAGGGGTAGTTGATGTGCACCGATGTATGACATCTCCAGTATGTGCTCATATCTAGACTCTCGTCTGTTCGCTATCTGTCCTGTGTTGGAATGACTACTCCAGAGCTGTGTACATGTAAGTGTGTTGGGTACAAGAATCTCTTTTTAGTAATATGCTAACAAAACATTCATATGCGAGATCCTCTGAGAATCCACCAGATAGAATTAGCTTGCTTAGAGTGTGAAAGAACTAACTCTTGTGAGCGCTGTAATTGAAAAATTTTATGTTCTCATTGCAGAAATTGAAGCCAGAGAAGCCTGCGACTGGCTGAGAGCCGCCGGTTTTCCCCAGTATGCTCAGCTCTTTGAAGGTATGATCCCAAAGATTTGTCAACAGCTGACACTGAATTCAAGTAGAATTGTTTACATAAATAATCTTTCAGAACCTGACACTTTTGATGGAAGCACTTCCAAATTCTCTAATATCTTCATGCAAACCTGTAGAAAAATAGCAACCTGGTGTGTGTTCTCGCAGAAGTGACATCTTAATTGGGTTAGCATGGACTCAGCAGATTCTGTAACGGACCAAATCTTGCCTCATTATTGTTAGACAGGAACGCAGTCAAATGTCTGCTTTTGTGATTTTCAGGTGCTTATAATTTTCTCAGGCTCCTTTCCTTGGAGTGCTGTTTATTTTTTTCCGACTCACTGATTGCAACCAAAACTCATCTAAGGCTCTCCAGCCTGTGGTCTTGAGCAAGATTGTTTTATAGGTGTTTTGAAAAAGAATGTTGAAAAAATAACCTTGCAATCATAAGTTTTTAAAACAGATACTCAGAGGCAGCCAGCCACAGTCAAACAATGCAATTTCAGCGTGTTTTCAGGTTGCTAAAGCTACAAAGAGTGCTTATTACTTGTGGGGGAGATACAGATTTGTTGAGAACTTGTATAATTTCCAGACAACACTTGTGCTTATACCTTAGAACTGTTCTTCTTTAAAATATGTTTATTGTTACAAACATAGAATGTAACAAAAGCCAATCTATTTTTATGAGAGTTGTTTATCAAAGAGCTACAGTTAAATGAACTAACAGTAACCTCTGCCTGCTCTCATCCCCACCTCCCCTGTTCATTGCAAAATTAGAATTTGGAAGCCGAGCAATAGAAGCAAATTTGAAAGCTGTGTACTATGAAACATGATAGCTCGTCGAAATGCTTCCCCTTTGACTGCGGCAGGTTTTATATATAAGCTGTCAGTCTTACTGTTTGCTGGAAATGTACATTGTCATGCTTCTGCAAAATCAACCCTCTGCGTTACCTTGCTGTTTATGCAGTCTCCTGACTTGATGGGGTAAGTTAAGTTTAAAAAGTAAGGCAAGAAAATACTGATGGATCTCACTGGTTGCCTCATCTGCAAGGCTAAATCTCAGAAGCCGGAGCATTGAACTCTCCAGCCGGTGTATCGATGAGCTTCAGGCGCAGCATGATCTGTCAGGCTCACAACTCCTCAAAGAGCATGTGTCACATACTGCATTGTACTTTACCATCAGCAAAAGCTTGTCTAAAATACTCCTAGTTTTATCCTCTACTTGAAGGCAGAATTTGCAGAGAACCTAACCAAAGCAAAAATTTAAATTTGTATTTCTTGGCTGTAGTGCTCAGTCACTGCAAGCTCCTGGAAATGCAGCAAAGGCTTCTCTACCTGTAACCGACGACAGCAAGCAGATATACCTACATTTATTCTCCCGCTTGGTCTGAGGAACTGATCCTCACTTACTTGGAGGACATTTGTGTGAATATATAGCTATAGAAATAGATTTAGATTTATTTCAGCTATGATAAATTTGTTGCAGAATTCAAAGTCTTTGCAATTATAACTCAGTTTTCAGATTAAATGTCTTTGTTTGCAGATATGCAGTTTCCTATTGACGTAAAAACTGTGAGGAGAGATCATGAATTTTTAGATGGAGATGCGATTGAATCACTATTCAGGTAAACATTAATTATGAATCACCTTTAATACCTCCAGGCTCCATAGTTATTTGTCATTCATCTTTTCATACCTTAGTTTTTGTCAAAGACTAACAAATTCACCAATCCTGCAATTGAAGGAAATCCCTGAAGCACATACTTTAGCACCGCTGAAGTTGGTTGTTTTAAGAATTTAAAGGTAAAGTAAGCATGCATCTGCATGTCTTCTTCAGCCAAGGTCTCAGTGATGTTACACTAAGCATCAAATCTGTCTTTTCTGTAATGTGACATGTCTGCAGGCTGAGGAGGAATAACCAGTTCCCTGCAAGCATGCGGTAGCGTGACAGTTTGCTCTATAGAATTGCATGTTACAGAGCGCAGGGATTTCCTCGGACTCATGAGCTTCACCAGAGCTGTTCCACAAGAGAAACAGCTAAAATGATCCTCACAGGAGACAAGTTTTCTGTTTTGTTTTCCTGAATAGTTTTTTGAGTGAGAAGCAAAGGCATTGATTTAAAATTGTTGGTTTGCAACAGGTGTTCACAGCACACGAGTGAAATCGCACGGTCAGTGCAAAGTCAAACCCATTGCTCTTTGGACTTTCCCCATGTAAGAATGCCAGGATAGGGTAGAGGCATTCTTATTACTTACTGCAGTTTTTAAAGCCTTTTCATTATGAGGTTGTTTGGCAGGTGAATTCCAGACTGTCCATGCCACTTGGCTGATCCAAGGGATGCAGTAACGATTTCTAGCTCCTAAGGGACCGGAAAGTTACTCTTCTGGCAAAGTGGTTTGGCCCTTTCCTGTATTGTTAGGTCACCTGAATTCAAATTCTGCTTGTAACAGGAGCACCAACGGGAGCTGTTTGCACAGACATCTCTAATGCACTGCAGATATTAGAGAACTTTGGATATATTTTGTTTCTTGATATGACTTCTATCCCGAGTGTTCCTTGAAGGCTGCCATTGTGCCTCCCTCTTGATGCCACGTATTTGTTTGACAGTTAAGTGAATGACTAGTTTGAGGCCTTATTGATTCCACATGTTTTAATTAAAATGGTAGATAATAAAGTCCTTCTAAGGATACAGGTTAATGTCGTCTTTTTTTTTTAATTTTTTTAAGAAGTCCGCTCAGAGTTTCTTTCATTTTCAAAATCTTAAATCATTTTACAGTTTTTCACAATCATTAAAGCTCATAATATGATTTTAATTTACTGATTAATTATGGTCCTCCTCTCTAATTTTAAGATGGCAACCTGGAACTGTGAACATCACGGGGTTATTAGTTGGCCCTGGTTTTGCCAAAATGTATGGAGAACCTCCAATAGAATGTCAGTCGTTGATGCCAATAATGAGGACACCATGGTAGAAGTTGAGAACTAGTTTGGTGCATGTTTTCTTTTTTGAGAAATAAAATAGTTTAAATTTAAAACTTCTGTATTTTTTCTCATACTCTAGACGGTTGAACACATTGAACAAGTGTGCATCAATGAAAGTGGAAATACAACGTCAGAGGAAACGAGTATGTTTGTAAAATACAGTTAATTTTCTCATTAAAAATGTGTTTAGCTATTATATCAAAAACCTGTTTTGAAAGGTGTATGAAGGATTAGCGATTTCTGAACTTTTCTTACTATTCTCTTCCATCCTGCAAAGCTCTTTCATTTGCATTTTCTGCTGAAAAACATAGTAATGGAGATTGAAATTATGGAATGTTTATTTTGCAACTTTGTAAGGTAGGTTAGGGGTGGGTTTTGAAACAGTTTTTAAAAATAATTTGACACACATTACTGTCCAAGAGTTGCACCAAGGTCCCACCTCAGCATGTCTTTTATTGCTTTCCTAAGGGGTTTCACGTCTTATTTAAAGTCTGGAAGTGAAACTTCACTCTTATTGACTGAACGAAGAATAAGAAATTGAAATGAACAGTCCAAATAGCGTCAGCCAATGCCGAATGTCCAGCCAGTAGAAGCTGGATAGGTTTTAGTTGTGCTGGCTTTGTCATCTCCTGCAAAAACTGTAGATAAAACAGAGTTATAACCCCATCTTGGCTGGTTAACACCAGGATTGTAAAGTCTCTTAAGTACCATGGATTAACTGCAGGACTAACAAGAAAATAATGTTATCTTTTGGGAAAATGTCTTAGTTTTTTGGAAAGTTCCACTCTGCTGTCAGGGAAGAATGGGGCAAGAGAGGGTCCACAGAGAAGAGACAGGTCATTCCCGTCGCTCTAACAGTCTGCTGGCCGGGTGCAAATGGAGCACCTGGGGCAAATGGGTGGCGAGGCTGAGGTCTCCAAGAGGCTGCGCCAGATTTTGATGCTCCACAGTCCTGCAGCCAAATGCTTCTTTACCTGAAAATGGAAGTTTTGGTCACAGAAATGTGAAAGTGTATTTGATTTGTTTGGCTTTAGGAAAGGCCATGTAAACCCACTACAATTATCCTTCAAAACCTTTGGGTTTGCTGCAAAACAGAATTTTTAATCCTCAGATCAAATATGTCATATTTTCCTGTGGTAAACTTACCAGATTTGTCAGCATCTTTTTTTTCTAAAAGAACAGAGCTCATAGCAGACCTGCAGTAACTGAATGGTTGTATTTCCATATGTTGGTCTTGGGGGTTTTGGAGGCAGGCAGAAAATTTAAGTCTCCTCTTCTGTTACGTTTTTTTGTAATTTAAAGTTTGCCAAACCTTGCCCTTGAACTGTACTTTTTTTTTTTTCCTTCTAAGAGTGATGACTCTGAAGATGATGAACCTTGTGCAATAAGTAACAAATGGGCTTATGAGCGGTGCAGTCAAAGATGGTCTCGTATTGAGAGCATAGAAGGTTTCCCAGGAGAGGAAGGTGCTAGTGCATCAGTCCCAGGCAGTCCAATACTGAAGAGCATCAGCAGCGAGGATACTATCTTTCTGGATCATGGCGAGAAACATGATGTGTCCTCGATTCATAGTACTAGCAGTGGTGACAGTGACACTGTTAGCTTTCCAAAACCTTTTGAAGATGTGGAAACCAGCACAAGTTCCTCAAGATGTTCCTCAATTAAGGTGACTTCACTGGACTCTACTTTTAGTTGTTCTCCCCCCAGTGAATTTTTAAATACCACCAGTGAGGAGAAGCTTTTGGATAAGTCACCATATAAAAAGAGGAAGAGCCTTCTAAAGAAAATGGAGAAGTTGCACTTAAGGAGCTGCAACTTAAGGAGTGGTCAGTCAAAGGCCAAACCCATAATAAGTGAACCTGTTCTTCTGGAAGGACTTAATGAAGAAAAGATGAAGATGCTGAACTGTGTAGATATTTCCAGCCTCTCTGGCATCCGAACAAAGAACAATTCTTCCTTTTCTCCCCAGGGTTGCAATAGCAGCAATCAGTCTGAAAATAGCAGCACAGTGGGTAGTACAAGTCCTCTTATAAAACCACAAAGCCACTGTGAGGATGGAGGAGTGTGTGCAGAGCACTTGGATTCTAGCAAGCACTTGCTGTGGAATGATCTATCTCAGCAAAATCTAAAAAATGACACGACGTTACGAATGAACCAGATGTTTCAAATACCACAAGGCCATAAACCTGGCACTTTCCCCAAAGCACTTACAAACAGTTCCCTGTCTCCAGTAGACAACTCTTCCATCAACTGGAGAACTGGAAGTTTTCATGGGTGCAGAAGAAACCGGAGTAGAAGCAGTTCCAAGGACTCCAAAGCCCCCAGGAGTCCCCTTTCATGCACAAATAACAGGCTAAGTATATATGACAACATGCCAAATATTGAACTCGGTAATTTGGAGGCAGCAGAAGTTGGCGATGATGATGTTTTTTCAGAACTTAACAATGTTATAGAAGATGTCAATGGTCTCAAAAAGTTGGTCGATCAGTGGACAGAGAAGTTCTCAGATGATGGGGATTCAGACTTTGCCAGTGACTTGACCTCTTTGAATCCATCCTCACCTAAAGAAATCTGTCTTGAAACAGAGGGCTCAGAAGACAAGACAGCAGACCTCCCAACCACTGGGAGAGAGAGCAGCTGTGAACTGGGCAAGGAGATCAATTCTGCAGACCTGACATACCTGACAGACCCTAAGAAGACCAACAGGTCAGCCATCTTGGGTTTCCCTAGTAGACTTCCCCTTGGGAACCATTCCCCATTGATTCTCTCCATTCAAAATGTAATTGCTTTTCCAGAACAAAGTATTCTTAAGGAAGTCTGTTCTGGGTAGCAAGGTCTGCACCACTGGTGCCAGGTACTGCTGGTCTGCAGGCACATCTGTGCCTGCCCGACCTCTGTTGAAAGCAGGGCTGTCATCATTATCTGCATGAGCACCTAATCAGACGTTTGGAATCACTTTATGGCTTGCTCGCCGCATTTCTTACTGAAATGTTTTGTATTGCCAGAGTACCTCCTGGGTGAGAAGTACTTTGTCTAAATGCAGCTAAGAAGCTTGGGAGCTGCAGGTCCTTTAGAGTCTTAGGTGCTTCACAGATGCAGGCAGAAAACTAACAGGGACAATGGGAAGAGTCCTAAGCTTAAACAATATTTATCCCATAGGCACGGGAAGCAACACTGGTCTGTGGAAGAGAGCGTGAACTTGGAAAGCCTTTCCATCCAGACTGATAGCCAGTCAGCTGCCCAGCTGGCCCGGACCCAAAAGCTGGCTTTGTTGAAACTCACTGCTCTAATGGACAGATACTCCCCTTCCAGTAAGCAGGGCTGGAACTGGTAAGCTGTCTAATGTTAAAGCAACCTGTGTTGGAAAGAGAGGATTTAGTCTAAGCAGGTGAATTTCCTTGTCTGTCTAGATTACACACGTGCAGGATGGGGAGTTTCACCCGGTTAAATCGCTGGCAGTTTTGTGGTTATTTCAATTGCTCCAGGATTTCCTCTGCTATGGACTGCACTTTTGCTCCTCGCTGGTGGTCACATTGTTACTGATTTTAAAGCGCATTCTAGTTTCTCTCTGAATTAGCCCATTTGCAAGGCTTTGTCAGAGGTCCTTCACAGAGATTGCAGAACCTGAGGGTTAGAGCTGGTGGGGCTGAGAATCCATCTCTTCAGCCTCAAGTCCCAGTTTGATCTATACCAATGACAAAGTCAGTCACTCTTAGAACTATCAGTTAATATCTTGTGATAGGGATCTGGTACTTGAATATAGAAAGAAGTGAAAAAAACCTGCAGTGTCCTAAAGGGACGGAACATATTTCACATGAGGATGCTTTATTAAAGCTAATTTCAGTTTTGAAATGAGGAAGTCATTCCTATAATTGCCCTTAAGGATTTTCTCACTATCTTATGATGCTATGTGTACCGGTATGTGGCAGAATTTAGGGTTGTGGCAAGTATAACTAAATCCTTTCCCATGCCTGTAACCAAAGCAGCAGGTGGAATTGTGCTGGAGAGCTAATAAGTTGCATGCACTGTTTTTTTTTTTTTTTTCAGGACTATACCAAAGTTCATTAAAAAAATAAAAGCCTCTGACTACAAGGACAAAAATGTGTTTGGGGTTCCTTTGCTTCTGAATGTTCAGCGAACAAGCCACCCGCTGCCTAATGGCATACTGCAAGCACTGGACTATTTAAGAAGCCACTTTCTTGACCAGGTATGAATTGTGGCAGCTCTGTTCCGTAAGTGGATCTGCTCCAGGGAACCAGTCTCTGCTTCCAGTTTTTGTGAGGGACTTCCTTGCCTCCTAAGGCAGAAGGGTGTAGGTCTGAGCAGGTGCTGTTTCCTTCTGGGAAGACCTTTAGTCCTGTATTGTATTTTTGTGCCATAGAATCATAGAATGGTTTGGGTTGGAAGGGACCTTAAAGATCATGGAGTCCCACCCCCCTGCCCTGGGCAAGGATACCTCCCCCCAGCCCAGGTTGCTCCAAGCCGCATCCAACCTGGCCTTGAACACGTCCAGGGATGGGGCAGCCACAGCTTCTCGGGGCAACTTGGGCCAGTGCCTCTCCACCCTCATAGGTGCCTTGCCTCACTGAAAAGGTCTGTGGTGAGTTATCCTGGTGCAGGCAGTCAATCTGTCTTCTGGTGAGGCATCATGTCTCTGCTCCCCAAGGGAGTAAATCTACCAAACAATGCTGTTACTCCCTCTGTTCCGTGGTTGCTGGTAGTGCCAGAGCTAATGTAATAATTAATCTTATTTCAGTTGAAATGTACTACTAAGCAGAGATAAAACATATTAGAGCAGTGCCTGTAACTACTTTTTCTGGCTCTTAAATCCATATTTATCCACTAAGTGGAGATGTGCGCACGGCAGTGACAGTGTGTGTTGCATCTGCTATTTCTATAGCATAGGTGCAGAAATGGGAGACCCCGTGACATGAGACATATCAGTTAGAGAAAGGGGTTTCTTTTTTCTATGCTTTGCAATTGCATAGGTGTGTAATGTTACATCAAACTACACAAATGTGTGCATCCTGTGAAGTTACAATGCAGTTTGGTGGCACATACTGCATGTGAGCAGTCAGTTTCTTACGAAGGCAGTGTGTTTGCTTTTGAGGTGGTGGTGGGATCTTTTCAGTTAATATAAATAAACTGATGAATGTAAACACTGTCTCTGGCACACAGTGAAACTTTCAGCAGAAGCTTTGTTGATGCCGAGTTCATGGGAAACTTCCAAATCTAGGTTTTCTCTGAAACTGGATTGACATTCATATTGAAAATAAAATCAAAAATATCCCTCAGAATGGCAATTGCCCTTTGCCAACCTGTAGACGTACTAGATGGATCAGTTAAACCTGACCCTTGTGGGTCTCACAGTCTGAGTTTGTCTGCAGCATGGGCATCAATGTACATTTGCTTTTGGATGAGCACACCAGAAACTTGCAGTTCACAGTTCTAATGCGTGAACACATCCTGCTCAAGCAAACTGACAGATGTCAATACTAATGAATTTAAAAGTCAAAAAGAGTATTTTTCTATTAAATCACAGAATCTTCAGAGTTGGAAGGGGCCTCTAGAGATCATCTAGTCCAACTCCCCTGCTAAAGCAGGATTGCCTGGAGCACATCACTCAGGACTGCATCCAGGCGGGTTTTGAAAATCTCCAGAGAAGGGGACTCCACCCCCTCCCTGGGCAGCCTGTGCCAGTGCTCTGTCACCCCAACTGTAAAGAAGTTTTTCCGTATATGTGAATGGAACTTCCTATGTTCCA